TCCAGCGATAAATCCTGTTGTGCACCCCTAGAAATGACCGTATCAAGTTGTTTGGTCGTATTATAAATAACATAATGCATCCTAGGTAAATGAAGTTCCAAACGTACAACGGATGGAATCCTTTCATCCATAGGATTACCAAATAATCGCCAAGCAACTTCTGGTGGTGTAATATACCTAACATCTAGATATTGTTAGATCTCATTTTCTCTTTCCAACGCCATAGTGGTACGATCATGACCTTTGTAAATATACTTGTGAATGTACTTTATGCATCTTATTCCCGCACAAACTTTCACATTGATGTAGATAAGTCATTATTTTTAGGTGATTTTAGAAAGTTTTGTTGCATTTTAGGCCTTTCTAAATGGTTATATATAGAATACTTGTGAAATACATTAGATCTTTAAAAACTTAACCCATTCAAAGGGCCTCGAAACATGCAACTGAACTAAGGGCTTAAAATTTAGGAAACTTTTGAGGTCGGTCCCCTTTTGTGGACTTATTTGGTAATAAGTTCATAAATGAAATTTGTTTAATATTAAGTCCATTTTGATCTCCATTGTCCAAAATACCCCCAGTAGTTATGTTTAATTAAAACAAATTTGAAAACTAAAAACTCCTAAATTTTAGGAGTTTGACTAACATTAAAATTCTCTCTCATATTTATCTATATCCATATATAGAATATGACTATAATAATAAAACAAGGCGGCTTCAACAAACTCATCATACGATTTCAAATACACGCATCTAACAGTCATCAACATCTCTTAACTTCAATTTTATTCCATACATATTTTTCTCTTCAACACCATCTCATCACCTCCATTTCTCACCGTCATTGTCTCTCCCTCTACCCCAAGCACACCGTCGCACACACACACACACACACACACACACACACACACACACACACACACACACACACTCTCTCTCTCTCTCTCTCTCTCGGCTCTCGCCATAGATGCACGAAGTGCTACAGCACCACCGCCAGAGCCATAGCATCATATCCCCTGCATCACACCCAGAAACCCCCTCCCTAGATTCTCTACACCAAACCCCTCAGCTCAGATTCTCTATTGGTCCCTTACTTCACACACACATAGAAATACTCCCTCTTCCTCTCCACCCCCAAACCCAACCTCTGTGAGCACAACTCCCCTCCCCTTTCCTAGCCATCTACACCCACATACAACATCAGTTTCTCTCTTCCCGCCTCCCCTCTCTCTCTCTCACACACACAAACACTTATTCACTTGACCTCATGCTTTTTTTTTTCTGCATTATATGTTTTTTCCTAATTTTTTTTATTTTGCCCCTACGTCTTTTCTCTCTCTCCTTCTGTCTCTCACACACATCCATTACTTCACATACACTCATTCACACACCCACACCATCTACTAGCACCATATCTTCCTCCCAAGAACACCTCTATTTGGGGGTTTTGGGCATTACATGTGGTGGATGGATTTGAGGGCCCAACAATATAGTACAGTCCACAATGGACATTTTGTTTGATTAATATTAGGTGGGACTACAGATGAAATCAGGATTTGGGTCTTTTGGTGTCCTAGCAATGGTTAGAAGGTTGACTTGACTTGAGGAAATGGTGTAAAATGTGGATTACTATACTTTTATCTGCTTCTTAGTAACCTCCAAAGTATTAAGGGAAGGTTTAAGTTCTAAACTTCTAGAAACCTAAAGATGAGAAAGAAACTGCAAGTATAGTGTTGGATAAATTGTTAAGAAATAAGTTGCTTTTAAGATGAACATTTGGCTTTATACTACAGATGAAATCAACTGTTTGAGTATATGTAGGACCTGATAGTAGTATGAGTTTGTGTTGCATTGTCCAATAATGGCGTTTGTTATAAGATTGCGTATTTTTTAATTCCTATGGTTTGATTTTATTTATTGGTTGGTTTTCTTGCAATTTGCTGTCAGTGAATTGGTTAGCTTTTGGATGGGCGGGAAGCGGAGGAATGAATAGTGCCAAATGTTTTGAAATTCATGATGCAGCCCCAGTTCAATTCCTATAAATTCATGTTGAGAATACAAACACCCCCTATGACATTTTGTATGCAACCGAAACCAATGAAAATTGTTATCAATGTTCTATTGCCTATTTGCATGCAAGTTGTTTGCTAAAATGTCTAAGAGATAATGTTTTGACTTAAACTTCCAATTTCTCATTCATTGATTGCAGATTGGTTAGCTTAAATAAGCAAAAGCAATTACCTGAATTGAAAATAATTCTATCACATTACTTAAATAATTTATCATTCTATGTGTTTTGCCTTAAAGTTTGAATTCTGTTATGCCTCTGCTATGTTTTTTAATGTAATTTAAAACTGGGTACATGTGATAGGATGCACGTATATGCGATAGGACACATGTTAATTTAGGTGAAAATTGTATATTAACTGATTGGTTTTGAAGTTGAGTGACCCATGTGATAAAATGCATTATTCACTATGAAGCATGGATACGGATACGAGATACGGATACGATGCAATACGGATACGATGATACGACAAAATCTAAAAAAGTAAGATACGAGTATGACCAAGATACGACTATAATAAAATATATTTAATATTTTTAATCAGCTTAATACATATATATTTTGTTAGTTCTGTAATATACAATAAGCAAAATTAATAATTTTTTTTAGTTTAGAGAAAATATATATTGTATCGTTGTAATATATTCACAAAGTGAAGTGACTAATTAAAATAATCAAAATTAATATTTATCTAGTATTTAAAAGTAATTTTTGCTAAGATAATAATGTAATAGTTTTATTTTATGCTCTTTTGACATGTAATTGTAAATAATACTTAAGAAACACTCATGTACCTTTTAAATAATATGAATTTTTTGTTAATGTACTGTATGATATGTGAATTCGAAAAGAAATGTTAAAAGTTCAACTCAAAAATTATATATGTTGCTCAACTATAAAAGTATCCGTGAAGTATCATAATATTTAATTATTATCGGATACGTAGAAGGTGTATCCGATACGTATCTTCGAGTATCTGACGAGTATCGTATCCGATAAAATATCGAATACGGGTACGTCAACCTCAACGAAGCATCCGTGCTTCATAGATTATTCATGATCCAAAAACTTTATAAAGTGGTGAAATTGTTATATGTACTTTAGAAAGTTTCTAATTATCTTAATTTTTTTTGTGATTGCTAATTTAAAGGATACTCAATTTTAATAAAACAAGATGAGAATTTGTCTGGGGAGCATTTAAGAGCAAAAGGAAATAATTCCTTAATTAGAGTTTATGGCAATGTGGGACTATTTTTAATTCCTTTATTTCTAAAGTTTAAGATTCTTGAATAAATCGTAATTTAATTTTCTCAAAGATTTAGCAACTTACTTGGGTTGCTGCATCAAATGGGTTAACTATATTGGACATATATAAGGGTGAAGAAGAAGAAGATATATTATAATTTGTTATTTTTTATACAAATTTATATACGAGAAGCTATGATTCCTCTTATTATCTACACATATTTACATAAGTGTAAGAGAAGCGAGACACGAGGCCATGTGTTATGGAAATTTGGAGTGACTTTTTGTTTTTCTTATTTTTTTTAGGTTTTAGACTTGAATTAGACACGAGACCATATTTTATATTATAATTTTTTTTTTTTGGGTGGTCTCACATTGTGTGTCTAATTCATAAGGTGGAGTTTATTGGAAGTTTGGTTGCCATGACTTTAAAACTTAATTGAGTGAGGTCCAAAAAAATTGGCGCAGACAATTGATATTCCTTAAATAGTACTACATAAATAGTACTCATAAACAGTATCGATGAATACTAATTGTATATCGTACTAATGAATAGTATTGTATGAATAGTACCCCGTATATACAATACCGTATGGATAGTACTCGTATATAAATAATAATCAAAATTTGTATTGACTATGATACCAATTTGTTGCAAAAATTACCCTAGAAATCAAATTTTGACCGATACTGACACTCATACTCAAGTGAAAAAATAAAAGAACAAGTATACAAGACAAAATAAGATAATTTACATGGTTCGGCAATTGTCTAACAACAACGATCGAATGTTTTTATTATTTGAAGTAAATAAAGAGTACAAGAACAATTATTCCAAATCCCACAAGTACTCGCTCCAACAAAATAGAATCACTTTGATATATCACTAGCGTCCCTCATAAATCTGATAACACACAGACTGACACATGATATCACTCAAATTGATACCAAAATATCACTTAATGCTAAAACACTAAAAGCACCGAAAATACTGAAGTGATTTTCGAATGCTTGAACCATTGCCTGGACATCTCCTTTCGTAGTCAAATTGGAAAATAAATGGACAAATACTCAAATCAGCAAATCATAGCAATTAATGCGGAGATCAGATCCGAACTACGCATGATTCAGGCTTTCACACACAGCCCTATATTTCTCTTGACTTTTAATGATCCGTTTGGTAGGCCGAAAAAAATAGAAGAATGAAAAGTTTAAGAGATAGATAAAACATCATATTTGATAAAAAAAAAAAAATAAGAATGATAAAAAAATAGATGAATAACTTTTTCTTCCAACTCATTTTCTTCAAAATTAGAAGAAAAGTGGATACAAATTTAATTATTTGTATTAAAATATATTTTATTTACCTACATATCATTTGATATATATATATATATATATATTAATTATATATTATATACACATTAATTTCATAAATAAATATAATGGTAAAACATTATTTATACTTTTTAAAAAAAAATTTAAAAATAAAAAAAAATAATAATAAATTTTTTTTTTCATCTTAGTGCAAAAAAATATAATTATTTTTATTTTCTATCTATCTAACCAAACATAACCGAAGAAAAATATATCATTCATATTTTTTTTTATTAGACCACAAAAAATATATCCCCCTGCTTTTCAGCTTTTCTCGGTCTCACCAAACAAAGCACTAAAGCACCATCTGTTGGAAATCAATACCACCATTTGTCTTCTTGGGTGGCCATAGACTGTGTGACCATTTAATTCAACAAAAACAATTGGTTATGTGGGTTGCAACGGAACGTATCGGACACGTGGACAGTGTGCTGTTCCTAGCTAACCGCAGAGGAGCTGCACCCGTCCTGCCCTAACTCTAATGGAGCCTTGTCTTTGCGGTCTTCTCGTCATCTCCATCTCACTCTTCTTCCTCTTCACTTACTCATCTCCGTCTGGTTTACCCATCGGAATCCACCCACTTGGTCCTTATCTCTGTCTATCGCTCTCTCGATCTCTATATATGTACACAATATCATTTATTTTTCTTGAATTTCAAATTTGTTTTGGGTTGTTGACAGATGAAAAGTACTATGCTTCGGAGGTGATCAAGTGCAAGGACGGATCTAATTCCTTCACCAGGGCCCGCATCAACGACAATTTCTGCGACTGCCTAGATGGCACCGATGAACCTGGTATAAATTGAACCCTATCATAAAATTGGAACATATGTAAGTTATTCTAATTGCAACAAATTTAAATCTTATTTACTGTACAATTGGTAATTTTAATGATTTGTGTTCTGGAAATAAGGGGCTTATTTCTGTGAAGAATTTTTGTATTGTATGTTAAACATTTTGAGTTCTTGATACAAGTGAGGTAGAAAGATTATACGTCTTGCGATAACAGTGGGGAGTAGTTTTTATTTTTTGACTGCGAAAATATCTGTACTTTTTCTTTTTAAAAAGCAAGGATTTGACTCCTATAATCTCAAACTAGTAATGTCAGCAGTATTCAAGCGCAAGTAAAAAATTTCTATGTATGTTTTTGTTGTAAACTCTCTTCTTGTGGACAGTAAGTTCAAGGGTAGAGCTGATATCTCATTCTACAGAAGTTCTGTAAGCAATCTGGCAAATGTTGAAGGTTTATAATTCTAAGATAAGAAATGAACACTTGCTGTTCACTAATTCGACAGTGCAGTCCGAACAAGAAAGACATCAAGTTTTGCCACTCATTTTTATCAATATGTACTATATGGACAATTTTTGGAAGCCCTTTTTGTTTGTTTGCAATTATGGTTATTCCCTGATTTTTATTTCTTCATGTTTGCTCTTTTGAGGCTTTTTTTCTGAGGTATGTAAACCTCTTGAGGATTCCCATTTTGATTGCACTATTGAAAGGAAAGTTATGTGACGTAAGCAAACCCTGTCTTTCTTTTTACAACTCTTATTCCTTAGCGAATGCATATATTGCTGTTCTTCTCCAAAGGGGATTTGACATTTAGGTTAGTGTTGTAAGAAGTACACATGCTGAGCAGGAAGCTACATTAGTGGATGTGAGAAGTGTGCATTCATGCTCTTATTGTGACAGTCCTTGCTTCATCTTCATTTGATATTTTTCATATGCCAATATTTCAACTGTTCTGTAAATAAAGAGATCGATTATTTCTCCAGATAAAAGTGCTATTACTTTTTGTTTTTGGTATACAACCAAATATTTTCACAGAGCAAAAAAATAAAGAAGGATTGAAATGCAGGTTACCAATGAAGAGTGCATGATCTTTATACATATTGTTTCAATTTTAAAATGCATGCAACTAGTGTACCCAATATTTACTGAAAAAAAGTGTATCAATGACTGTGTCTTGTTTGAATTAGATATTTTTTTTGTGTACTACATTTATGTTTTTCCAATGTCAGTGAGTCACTTTTCCTTTGTTGGATTTGTAGGAACTTCAGCCTGTCCAATGGGCAAATTTTATTGTAAGAATATGGGAAGTATGCCTCAGTTTCTGTTTTCTTCTCGCGTGAATGATCATATTTGTGGTAAGTATTATCAATATAATTCTTCTCTCGTATTTATTTCACCAGATTATATGCGAACTGTTTAATATATGCAACTGGGGCAGACTACCGCAGGCGTGTTTTGGGTATTGTGCTTCTTTTCTTGAAAATGGATTAACCTATGACCTACCTCATCCGAGGCAGGGTTATTGCTAACTTCATATTGTGTTGCGCTGCCAGTTTTGTTGAGGCTCTATTGGGTTTGGATATTTCTCTTGCTCTTCTTGTTCATATTGATCTTAGCCCCATCTAATAGGCCGCCTTGTTGGAATTTTACTTGTTATACATAACTGCATTTACTAAAGGCACGGATTCTTCTATGGTACTTAACAAATTTTCTTGAACTTTGCGTTAGGTAAATTGGATTTTTCCTGTGTTTGTTATATTAATTTGCTGTTTCACTCTCCTTCAGATTGCTGTGATGGAAGTGATGAGTATGATGGCAGCATCATTTGTTCCAATACCTGTGTCATGGGTGGGAATGTTGAGTACAAGGGAATAAGTTATGGTTCAACAATCCGGGATTTGGGTTTTATTGATGCAAAAGGAACTAAGACGGAGGTTAATGCAGATGAATCAATTCAGAAACTGAAAGGTATTATTGTTCATGGCAGCTTATGTGCAGCGGCTAAAATCTCTTCCGAATCCTTATCAATAATGGAATCCAAATGATCTCTATGGAAATATTTAATGGCTTGGTCACTCCAGGTTTGAAGGTGGTGATTATCCTACAAGTGGTTCTTATCATCATTGTTGTGGCTTTCCGGGTATTTTATCGGCGTGTCAGGTCCAGAAGGAGACATTTGCGATGACTAAAGTTACCTGAAGCGTTATTGGTAAACTCTCATCAACTTTTCTTTGGTTAAATTTCATGCCTGCCTGATATATGAATGCTAATTCTGGTGTGTTCCTTTTTTCTTTTATTATCATGTATTATTATTCTCGAGTGGCAATGTGACTTGAACACATGACCACTTCTTTTAATACTATAATAAGCAGCCAACTCATCTTAGAGGATAAGCTGATGGAGAGTTATTTTGCTTAGTTATTTGTATTTTTAACAGGTTTCGATGAATCTGGTTGTTAAAAATTGTTGATAGGTTCCTTGTAACTTTATGTAACAATACAATAATTCCGTTAGTTGGGCAACTTGATTTGGGTCATTTACTTCATCAGAACCAAATTTTTTTCTTTTCCTCTTTCACTATTAGTGTCATTTTTCCCCTTAAAGGAACTAACTGGGGTTATGTTGTTTTAGCATCATCATTTAAGGCATCTTTCAAAGTGCTGTGATTATGTATTCTTTCACAATTTCATCTATTTGCTCCTTCCATAATAGTCCTTTATCCTTGCTAGTCTTGTTCTCATTGGTGGTATGATTTGTACAAAGCAATCCTTCTTCGTAGATATTATGAATTTTTGAAAGCCCTTTTGTCTATCATATATTGTATTTATACGTGCATTCTTCTTTAGATAAATTTTTTAGCGACCATTATTGGCCACCCTTTACATGGCTATTAATGCCTGCAGGTTTTGCATTGTACTGCTCATACTCCTCAGAAACAATGATTACAGCAACGAAGTTTTGTACATCTCTTCGTCCTTTTCATTGCTTGTTCCTCCATTCTTCGTACATTCACTCTTTCTGTTCCTCACAGACGCTTGAAGAATCCATCAAAGCTGCAGTTGAAGCCAAGTTTTACCGGCATGTTCCTGACCTTCTCATTGCCGTGAGAGAATCGGCCCAAAATCCAAATCCCTTCTCATTCCTCTCCACATTCTCCCAAACCCTTAGAACCCAAATTGTCGATGAAATTTTACAGTCTTTTATCCCTCTGAGACCCCGTTCTCGCCCTGAGGTTGCCTATTCGTACCTCCTTTCTTACATTCTCCAAAGTTCCAATCCTCTTCCTCTTGCTCTCGCCATTCTTCAGCGCACTCTTCGGTCAGGTTGTGTCCCTATCCCTCAAACTCACCTTCTTCTTTCCACTGCATGGCTTGAAAGCCGACATCAATGTCAGTCTGTCTCAAGTATTCTGTTAGAGATGCAGTCAATTGGTTATCGTGCTGACTGTGGCACTTGCAACTACCTTATTTTGTCACTCTGTAAGGTTGATCAGTTGAAGGAGGCTGTTAAAGTCTTAAAGGGCATGGGTGCGGCAGGATGCCTTCCGGATTTGGATAGTTATGACGCTGTAATTGGTGCAATGTGTGAACTAAGGAGGACTGCTAATGTTGTAGCGATGATGAAGGACATGGTGGCAAAATTTGGTTTGAACCCAAGGCAGGAGATGGTGTTGAAAGTGGTAGCAGCAATGCGGGCAAATAGGGAGATATGGGGAGCAGTTGAGATGATTGAGTTTTTGGAGACGGAGGGTATACACGTGGGGTTTGAGAGCTATGAATCTGTCGTTGAGGGTTGCTTAGAGTGTAGCGAGTTTGTTTTAGCAGGCAAGGTCGTGATGGGAATGACAGAGAGGGGGTTTATACCATATATTAGGGTGAGACAGAAGGTGATTGAGGGACTGGCTACTGCTGGTGAATTGGAGCTTGCCCATGCTGTGAGGAAGAGATTTGCAGAACTGAAAACTTAGCTTGTCCAATACATTTGTTTAGTTAGGGAAAGAACTGTCTAATGTCCGTTTACCTGCTATGTCAGAGCACATCCGCTGAACTACTAATTGACTGCATAATAGAGGGGGTTGTGGTTCCAAATCCGCTGCAAAGTGCTGTAAAAGATTTTGAAATGTTTGTATTCAAGCTTCAAATAGCCTGCGACATTTTATGGAAAAATTTGGTTGAATGGTGGTGGATTTAAAGTAATACTGAACGGTGTTTTTGTCATTTCTTCATGTTACTTTCTCTGACCCAAACATTGCATGCACGACTGTTGTTTGTTTTCAGGATTGCCTTTCGACTTTATAGCCCGAGAATTCAAGTACCTGACGGATTGAACTCTGGACTGGTAAATTCCAAAGCGCAATGCCCATTTGAGTCTGTACCTGATCAAAGCTAGCTCTGGAAGGTGTGAACAGATTGTGAAAAATCGAACCTTCGAGCTAGCATATTTGAAGGGGAGAGGCCTCTCCATAGTTGGCTTAGATGATGTTTTTTGGACGAATATGATTGTCACGAAGGGTAATGTTTGCGTTGGCTTCGTGGTGAATGTGAATATCAATTGTACAATAACCAACGGTCGATATGTCCTGAAAGAGAAAAAAAAAAAAACAAAGGGAGAGGTTTATGAGGCCCCCTAAATCGTTTCCTTGGCTAAGTGGTGTTGTCTCTTGAATTCTCACCCATCAGAGGAAAGATTTATTTCAACCAATAAAAGTTATTTCCAATTTATGATTTTGCAGAAGTACATAAAATTGGCAAACTAATGCATATGTTTTCAAGGGGAATTTGGAGATGAACAAATATTTAATTTAAATAATAATTTAAAAAGCCCAACCTTTACACTTATATGGTCCATAAGAGATAGGCCGCAAAAGGCTCGTTGGGCTGACTTTAGGACGATTCAATGACCTTACCTTTGTAAAAAAAAAAAAATTATCAACGGAAATGCTTTATTGCATAGGCACTGCCATGAGATATTGGAAGTCATGGTGGTGGAGCAACAAGTATAATTATATTATGCTAAGCTGTTCTCTAATCATAATTAGTGCGTCCCAACACTTGCATTAATATATGGTGACATATTTCCGATTTGGAATTTTGATAGAAGGTGCTCAGAAACAGTGGTAGAGAATAATAAGGCACGCATGCCCTACATGTGGGTATGGTTTGGGGACAAAGTAAGGAGAGCTTAGAGCCCTGCAAACAATTCACATGGCATGGCATCAGCATCCTTACTTTCCACAGCTCATCCCCCAAATCCCACAACTCCCTTTATCCTCCCATATACATTTCCCTATATAAACTATAGGGACTTGCCCATCTACATAGAGTGCAACCCAAACATTGTACACAAATGGTCATAATTTTTTATTTTTCTTTGTGATAATTGCAAATCGTGTAAACTAAAAATTATATTTCTCATATTAACTTGTATTGTTCGTAATTATCTTCGGTCTACGTGTATTTATTGGGTCTTTTATAAAACTTAAACTTGAGGTTTCAAAATAATTATTGTAGGTAAAATATGATTTCAGCTAATATGTGGAGTATAATTGATGTCATTAGCTAATGATGATGATGTGACCACGGTGACCCATTATTTGTATCTAAATCTATCATCGTATACTTTTTTTTTTTTTTTTTTTTATGATTTTCTCAATAAAAAATTATTATTTATTATTATGAATTTAAGTGAAATTTACGACTTTACCTTATTGGAGCGGATGAAATGTCAAAATAGGGTGACTGATTTAACATTGATGGAATTTAATGTGAGAAGATCGGAGGGACTAGAGATGTCTGTCTTTCGATCAACGGACAATTAACAGGCGAGGCATGATGTACATACAATGTATATAAACTCCACTGGAATGTTTCTCCTATGTGAATAATGAGACTATTATAAGCTACAGCTGAAAAGACGGTCACTAGGGCACGTGGTCTCTGATTCCTCCTACTTATTAAACTGCTGAATCCCTGATGCATTCCAGTAATACCGTTGAGACTCAACCTCCCTACCAGCTGTAGATAGCTGCCCCATCTCCCCATGTGACACCAGTGTGTGTATGCGTGTGTGTGTGAGTGAGAGACAGAGAGAGAGAGAGATTCTTGATGAGATACTGGAAGGGAAAGAAAGCTGTAATGATGATGATGTTTTCCTTGTCGCTTTCTTTTCAGCGCAGTAGACAAATGTGGTGTGGAAGTAAATTTCATATTCAAAATTATTTTTTGCATTTAGACACTTCCCATAATTGCGTTTTAATTTCTTTTCTTTGCCCATTATTCGCTATTAATGAATAAGACATTTACATATATTTAATGAATTTCACTTGAATTTATTGTTAATAAATTACCAAATAAAAAATAAAAAATAAAAAGTATTAGATGAGATCTTGTTCTTAAATTTTTGGAGGATGATATAAAAATTAAATTACAATTAAATAGAGTTATTATTCGATAAAAAAGTTAGAATTGACCGTTACAATCAATACTAACATCTCAAGACCGGTTATAAATGTTAAACCGACCTTAAGATATTGTGATCTATATCACACGATCTTATTTGAGAATAATTTCATCGTTATTTTCTAACATTTATAGTATTATAAAAAAAAAAGTTGGGGGGTACCGTAGTCGTACCCTTGCGAGTATATATAACTAACTTGGGGGTGTAGATTGCAGTTTGGCTTGCCTTGCTGCCCATTGGGTTACTTCATTGTTCAGTTCTTCGTCATCCACATTGTCCTGTTACTTAGCTAAGAAAACAATGGCTCAGTTGCCTCCAAANCCAAGTAACATTATTCTTAAAAAAATGCTTGTTGCAGCTTGGTGTAACTGCAATTGTGGAGATGGCTATTGAATTGTATTACTTGTATATTGTTGTGGTATACCATGGACATATGGAGGATAGCAACCTAAAATCAATGCGAAGTAAGCGAGTTAAGATTGATTAGTTCTTAACACAAATTCGAAAATAGCACAATCAACTATACAACTAATAAACGAGTCGAGTTAATATCAAAGATGAATAATATAAATTTAATATAATAAATACGTTTAATTAATATTAAATAAATAAAATGCCTAATTNCCAATCCATATCTTGTTAAATTTTATGCAATCTATACACAATTCAATTATTTACCAAGTCTGGTGGTCAGCTTACTTATGATTCAAACCCATTAAATCTAAATTTATACCTTGTAATATCGTGGCAATTTCACGCCGATAGTAAGATCTAAAAGAGATAGCTGATAAACAATTAAGTTCCACTTTGAGAGGGATGATACCCAGAAGCACAAGCATATGACTACTAACACCTAAAGAAAATAAATAATTCTTGAGAATGTACATTATTAAAGAGGACAAATTACCTTAAATAAACTAATTTAACAAAACCTTAAATTTTTTTCGAAGTTTTTATTCTTTTGAGACAATGCTTTCTTCTCATTTTTCTTAGTGATATTTGCGTGGGAAGTTCTGAATGTTTAATAGCTTACCATTTGAATACTCTGAAACCTAGTTTTTAAAGAAAACCCCCCTTCAAATTCTGCCATTTTAATCTTTGCAGCTAACATATTAGCGTGGATAACTCAAGCTTTATGAGTTTTCATTGCCTAATTGTATGGATTAAACGCTTTTTTTTTTTCATGGAGTGAATTCACATTTAATACATTTTCTTTTCAATTCTCTTATTCACAGATTATCTATCATTTATTCAAGTGAGAATCATTGTATACCCTTGGATCCCCCACTCTCTAATGATGGATGATGATCCACCAAAATGTGAATTGAAGAGAAAATATATCAGGAGAGATCTAACTTCTTTTTTATGGATCTAAATTTGCTGTAATGTTTTTTTCTTCTCTATTTGATAGATCACCCACCTTGTATTCGTAAATGTCCTACTAATATATAGAATGGATTCAACTTAAATTGATGATATATCAAGTGCAAAATAGGAAAAAAAAAAAAGAAGTGGAGCAGACCTTAATTTTTATTTCTATAGTTCGGTGGTATTTGTATGCATATAGGTGTGCATGTGTTTTTGTGTGTTAATTAACAGTTGAGCAAATTATATGTTTAGATTCCCT